ATCATGTGGTATTTATCTTTCTCTGACTGGCTTATTTCGCTTAGCTTAATGCTCTCCAGTTCCATCCATGCTGTTGCAAATGGTAAGAATTCCTTCTTTTTTACCGCAGCGTAGTATTCCATTATGTAGATATACCACAGTTTTTTAATCCACTCATCTGCTGATGGGCATTTAGGCTGTTTCCAAATCTTAGCTATGGTAAATTGTGCTGCTATGAACATAGGGGTGCATATATCCTTTCTGATTGGTGTTTCTAGTTTCTTGGGATATATTCCTAGAAGTGGGATCACTGGGTCAAATGTGAGTTCCATTTTTAGTTTTTTGAGGAAACTCCATACTGTTCTCCACAGTGGCTACACCAGTCTGCATTAAGTCTTAAAACAAAATCTCAGTCTATAAAGAGACAAATCATAGTCAGGGTGAGCAGAATACAAATTGGCAATTCTTCCCAATTAATCTATATTTAAATTCAAAGTAATTCCAATCAACACCCCAACAAGGACCTTGAGAAGATGATGCCAAAATTTCATATGGGAAGAGAAAGGGGAGAGAATACTCAAGACCATTTTTAAAAAGTAGAACAAAATGAAGGACTTACCAGGTATCAAGGTTTATTATAAATCTATAGCAATTGTGGCATTGTTGTAAGGAGAGAAAAATAGAGAGTTCCAAAATGGAGTGAACCATTCATGGTAACTTGACATAGAGTATGATGGGCATAGAAATGTGTGGGGTGGGAGAGGACTCAATAATCAATAGTCCTAGTACAAATGATTATCTAAAAGAAGATCAATAAATTAGATATCTCCCTCATTCCACACACACACACACACACACACACACACACACACATTCCAGATGGATTAATATCTACATGTGAAAAGCAAAACTTTAAAAATTTATCAGAACATATTGGAGAGTATCTTTATACCTTGTGATAGGAAAATGTTTCTTAACCATGACTCAAAAAGTGTAATATGTAAAGGAAATTATTGGTGAGTTTGGCATAATTAAAATTTGAAAATTATGAACAACAAAGACACTACATATAAAGCTACAAGACCACAAAGAAGTTATTAACACCAAATAACCATCAAAGGGTTGGTATCCAGAATATCCTACAATCAATGAGAAAAAGACAAAGAAGCCAGTGATAAAATGAGCAAATATATGAATACACAAGCCAAAGAGGAGAAAACCCAACAAGCCAAAAAGTCAATGAAAAGATGACCAATCTCACTAGTCATAAAGGAAACGCAAACAAAATTAACCCTAAGATACCATGAGAGTCTAGAATTGAAAAGTTGAATGTCACCAAGTGCTGACAAAAATGCAGAGCAAATTCTCATACTCCTCCAATCACAGTTTAAATTTCCACAATCACTCTGAGGATTCGTTTTGCAAAATCTAGTGAAAGTAAGATGAGCATAACTGTGACCCAGAAATTTCACTTCCAGGACTCTGCCCTGGAAAAACCTTTGCACATGTGTGCATAATGAGCAGGTACTCAAGTGTTTTCTGCTATAAACTAGAATGTTTATAACAGCCGAAGTGGGAAGCCATCCAGATGTCCATCAACAAGAGGATGGATAAAGGATCTGTGGTGTATTCCTACAGTGAGATGCTCCTCAGAAGAGAAAATCAATCAATTAGAAATGCATGCATCAAAATGAATTAATCTCCTAAACAATAGTCAATGAAAAAAGAAAGTTACAGAAGATTATTGGTTACATAAAACTTAAAATATAAATATCATGCAATTAGGTTGTTTATGGAAATTTATATATTTAGTAAAAGCATAAAACCATGAGGCAGAATGATAATCATCAAATTCAGGGTAATTAGTCCCTCTGGCAACAAATGGAGAGAAATGGGATGGGGCAGATGCTATGGATTTCAACTATCTTTCTAATGATGTATTATTTAAGGGAAAAACGTAAAAGTGAATATGGTCAAATAAAAACTTAAGATGTAACAAAGTTGATGGCTGCATTGGCTAATATTGTCCTCTATATTTTTCCATGTACTTGAAATATTTCATAATATGGCAAATATGTATATTTTCAAGCATATGAGAAATGCCTATTACCAGTGTAATTAAAAGAATAAAATCCAATTGTTCCCATATGCCAAGTGAAAGGCGTATTGGAGAGAAATAAAAGTCTGGGAGGGAAATAATTTCCCAAAGAGGGAACTGCTGAATAGAAAAGCACTTTTTCTTGTTGACTGCCTGAAATCTTCTGGAATTTTCTCCTGTTAAATTTCAAGCCACTTGTATCAAGTATCATAGACTGAGGGACCCCAGAGTCACAAATATGGCCCCTGTCCCAAGCATCTATTTCCTTCTTCACAATAAGTGATGCCTATCAAGAGCTACCATAGAATCTCATTCTGCATTTCTCCCACCACTGCTATGAGTAAACAGAGAACAAAAATATTGGGGCCATGGTCTGCACACACAAGATGGCCCTGTGCTCGACATTTACTAAAGGTGATTTGGTTATGACCTTCCTTGCACTGCTACGAGTAAACAGAGAACAAAAATATTGGGGCCATGGTCAGCACACACAAGATGGCCCTGGGTGCGCTCGAAGTGGTATGACTTACATTTACTAAAGGTGATTTGGTTATGACCTTCCTTGGGGGCAAAACAAGGAAGGGAACCTAATCAACCCCAAGCTTTGCAGTATCCAAAAGACAAAATCAAAGAGTTTTTTGGGGAAAGCACCACAATTTCAAGAGATTACCATCTGAAAGAAAATGCTCCCTCACATTAAAATAAGTAAAAAATGAGAAGCGAAGTCATGAACCCCACACATAGCTTGGACACTGAGAACTAGAACTACCCCAGCACAGCCAGAACTTACTGTCTACATTGCATTATCCGGACATGACCATTCCACTGTCTTGCTTACTGCCTTTGGCACTGTTCAGGCCGACTCTTCCCCATGCACTGATTGTTCATTACAGGAGCTTCTGGAAAGACCCGCCTCTTCCAGGGAAGGCACCAGCAGAGGATTGGTGCCCCAAGAGTCTTTGAATCCGTCCTGTCTCCTCCAGTCCTAGACTGTTGTATGTGATCCTTATCCAATTCTAATCAGACCCTCACATTAAAGGAACTGCCTTAAACCAAACTTCCAATTCTCAATAAATTCTGACCTTGCCTCCTTTCACTGAGATGCTGCCACAGCTCTCTCTGGGCGGTGTTCTTCCTTACTGTGGTAAGCAATAAACTTGGCTTTGCCTTATTAGCAAGGTGTGTGGTAATATTGGGGAGCTGGCAATAGACAATCATTTAAATTTTTTAAAAATGTAAGAGGGTGAACGCACGTCTTCCTTGTCGAGGACTATTGAAAAGTCTTTCCAGTGAAGGAGGAAAGAGCCTTGCCATTTGGTCTCAGGATGCTTGGCCACTTCCTAAGCTCTTGCCCAGTTGGGTTCCTGCAGGAAGGCCTGGGCATGTCTGTGATTCTGCCTTTTCTGGGCATTCTTGCTGAGAATAATCAGAGTAATTATAGACTGTTCCCTCATTGTCCTGACTCTTGGGAGCTCTTGAGCACCAGAGAAGGATAAAGTCAGAAAGCATTCAACCCAGGCTCCCCCTTCCTGAGAAAGCTGGAGAAGGCTTCCAGCATGGTTTCTCAACATGTATTCCAAGAGCAGATGGAGCAAGAGGAGAAGGAGGAGGAGTTGCAAAGGAAGAAGGAGGAAGAAGGAGAGGAGGAGTTTCATGATCTGTCAAAGATGTGTATGAATTGCTACTTTTAAATAAAATTGGACATTTAAACAAAATAATTGCAGCAGCTCTCAGAGCTTCCATACTGTAGCTGCGACCCTGGTGCTAAGTTAAGATCACCTGGCAGGACTGGGGTAGGGAAGAAAGGGAAGCCGGGCATGAAAAATAAACATGCCAATCAATGCCTCAGCCCAAGAGATTCTGATTCTGCTGGTCTCAGGTCATAGGTAGTTTTGAAAGTTCTTCAAGTGATTCTAATGTGTATCTGTGATGGACTTCATTACTTGTGTGTGCTAATATGCTTTGAGATGTTTAAACTTCTTTTCCATGTACATTTTACCATATGTGTCTGCCCCTAGTGTACCTTGGTAAGACTAGTGTAGTTTTCAGTAGAAAACACTTGGAATTTGGGGGTTTTCTGTCACAGATTTTTTTTTAGATGGAAAGAGGACACAGTATGGGTGCTGATGTCCAGTACCAGGAAATGAGTATCTTCCTCAACTCCAAATCATATTAATAATACCAACAATTGGAATCCAGTGAGTCAAAGAGTTTGCATTTATTTTCTCATTTAATCATTAAAACACCTCTAAATACTTGGTGCTCCTGTTATTCCCATTTTACAGATGAGAAAACTGAGTCTCAGAGCCCAATGTCACACAGGTAGTAACTCTCAGAATCAGGACTTGAATTGGATCTGAGTGCCTTTAGTGTCTCAGTTCTACAATCAGTATGCTCTACCATATTTATTTATTTTTTTAATGTGACCCATACTCCCTTCAAATTATTGGTTCTAGAATCCTAGAGCCCATCTAGTTGCCGGTAAAAGGAAGAGGCCTGGCCACTTTTTTTGGTCTCTGAAATGAGTTCCACAAAATCGCTGTTCGGAACCTGACTCTGTAGTTCTGTGGGGTTTGTGATTAGCCAATGTCCCTCTTTAACCTGGTCCTCTCTCCCACTCCTTCCCAAGAAGAGTGGATGGTCATTGTGCTCCAAGCTCCTGGAGCCCCCCTGTGAAGGCAGTGTGGGGTCACAGAACCATGTGGCAATCTCGAGCCACGTGGTCACGGGCCAAGGCTCACACGGGCCGTGCGGAGTGATTTGCAATCAGTTGCAAGTGATTATACATTGTTTCTCAGCCATAGGCACGAGGGAGCCCTGACAGGATAATGAGATGCAGCTGATGGAAAGTCACAGCTGACTGTCAACCACGCGGGTCTGCACAGCCCTCCAGTGCTGCAGCGGAGTCCTCCCCACTGCCAAGGCCAGGAGCAGAGCTGGAAAATGTAATGCTGCACCACCTCACTGAGCCAAGGAACCTGACCGGAGGGCCCACCGCGTAAGTATTCGATAATTGGGTAAGGACAGGACACAGGGACCCCCGACGAACCACCAACCCTCCCAGCTGGGGCTCCAACCTTCCTAAATGAGAGCGCACACTCGTACAGGCAGCCTGGGGAGAGGACTGGAAATCAGGGCAACAACGAACCGGACGGGGTCCCTTTATTTTGCCTGCCCCCAGAGCAACGGGGTTCTTTGCCCCCGTGCATGACCTCTGCTGGGACAGGGAGTGAGGCTGAGTGTTTTCCTCACTGTGCTCAGTGAGAGAAGCTGTTTAAACTACCTTTCCATGGATCACTTCATTAAGGGCCAACTTGAGCCCCGTTTCCCCTTCTGTTGTCAAGAAAAAACAGCTGTTTGCTCAAATTGAGGTCTCCTTCTTCCATGACGGTCATTACCACCTCCCCAGTAAGAGATAATGGGCTTGAATTTCCCAACTAGATGGGGTTGAACAAATCTTGACTCTCCTGGTAAAGGCCATGGTAGCCCAGAGTGACCCGGTCCCTAGTCTCCAGCAGCAAGCAATTAACCTGTCCTCCATTTCTATAATTTCTCACTTCTAGAAGGCTATATAAATGGAATCATATAGCTTGTGACCTTTTGGGGATTGGCTTTGACACTCCATATGATTATCTGATTCATCCATGAATCAACAGCTCATTCCTTTTTACCACTGAGTAGTATTCCATGGTAGGGGTAATGGACCACCCACCACCGTCTGCTTAACCATTCACCTGCTGAAAGGCATTTGGGTTGTTTCCAGTTGGGGCTATTATGAGTAAAGCTGCTCTGAATATTTACGTACAGCTTTTTGTGTGAACACACATTTTCATCTTTCTGGAGTAAATGCCCGAGAGTGTAAGAAGGGGGTCATAGAATAATAGCATATTTCATTGTATAGAAGTTACCAAACTTGTTTCCAGAGTGGCCTCCCACTTTACTTTCCCAAAGGCAATGTCTGAGTGATCCATCTCTCTGCATCTTTTGCAGCATTGGCGGTGTCGCTGTTTTTTATCCTAGGCGTTCTGATAGGTGCGTGGTAATATCTCATTGTGGTGTTAAAGTGCACTTACCTAGTGGCTAATGATGCTGACATCTTTTCACATCTTTATTTGCCACCTGTATATCCTCATCAGTGAAATATCTATTCATGTCTTTCGTCGATTTTCTAATTGGATGGCTTGGTTTTTGGTTTTATGGGATTATTTTTTACTGTTGACTTTTGAGAGTTTTCTATATATTCTAAATCAGGGGTGGGCAAACTTTTACTCGAGGGCCACAATGGGTTCTTAAACTGGACCGGAGGGCCGGAACAAAAGCATGGATGGAGTGTTTGTGTGAACTAATATAAATTCAAAGTAAACATCATTACATAAAAGGGTACGGTCTTTTTTTTTTTTGTTTTATTCATTTCAAACGGGCCGGGGATTCGGCCCGCGGGCCATAGTTTGCCCACGGCTGTTCTAAATACTAAGCTGTTGTCCCATATGTGGTGAAAATTTTTTCTCTCAGCCCGTAGCTTGCCTTTTTATCTTGTCAATGGTATCTTTCACAGAGCAAAAAGTTTTCATTTTGATGGGACCCAATTTATCCATTTTTTCCTTTTGTTATCAAGTCTACAATCTATTTGACTAGACCTAGATCCTAAAGATTTTCTCATATTACTGTCCTAGAAGTTTTGTAGTTTCATGTTTTCCATTTGCAACCATGATCCATGTTAAGTTAATGCATAGGTCATATCTTTTACAATTACAAACGGGAAAAGATGGCTTAAAATAATGCAGTCTGATTTGCAAAAACACACACATGCCTTCTCTTTGACCAAGTTCACTGCAATATCAATTCACCAGTTGTCTGAGCCAATGGCCTATGACAGTGAGTCTCAACCCCTGTGTGGCAAGAATTTTGAAAACATGTAATACCTGACTATTTAATCAGGGGGAACTAGCCTCTTTTCCCTTAGCTTGTCAAATAAAAAAATGACAACAGAGGCCCAGGCAGGAGCCAGACACCAGGGGGTGCATAGGGGCCCCTTGAAGGCCCCTGAGCTCCACAGGCTCCTGGTGGTGCTGGAGGGGGAGCCTTTCGCAGACCCACCCACCCAGCCAACCCGGGGGGCAGCAGCCTGCAGAGGTGACCAGGTGTTGCCCATCTTCTCCATGAGTTTCACCTGCTCATCCGGGATGGGCTCTCCAGGGAGTCAGGGAGCTGGGAGTCTTTGCGTGCAGAACCCAGGGCTGCAGGTCCACAAGGGCCTGGTCAGGTCTCCAGGGCCACGTGGCTTCCCTGGCGTCCTGATTGTCACTCCCTCACCTGGGGAGGCTTCAGTACGTCCTGGAAGAGGGCGCAGCCGCCCTGCTAAATTCGCATCGTCAAGAGATGCTGAGTGCCCTGGCCTCTCCTCAGCCAACTCTCAGAGGAAGTGGCCCACGCCCTCCAGAGCCACAGCTCCAGGTGGAAACAGAAGCCCAGAGCCAGGTAGGTGCGGAGGCCGCAGGTGCTGCTGGCCAGGCGGTGGGCCTCCACCTCAGTGGGATCATTCTGACGAATCTGGGAGCTCATGGTTGGTCGGCAATCGGGAGTTAAGGTCAAAAACAGTGTTGCTGGTCCTGGCTGGTGTGGCTCAGTGGATAGAGCATCAGCCTGGGGGCTAAAGGGTCCCAGGTTCGATTCCTGGTCAGGGCACATGCCCAGGTTGCAGCTCGATCCCCAGTAGGAGTTGTACAGGAGTCAGCCAATCAATGATTCCCTCTCATCATTGATGTTTCCATTTCTCTCCCCCTTCCTCTCTGAAATCAATAAAAATATGTTTTAAAATAAAAACAAAATGAAAAAAAAATGACAGCAGCTAGCACAACAATAGCTATCCAGTGTGAATGAATCAAAATTATACCTATTGTCTTTTTTGTCAGATTGGCAAAATGTATAATATGTATTTTGGTGTGCGGCAGAATTTTAGTAATTAGCTTATGTGTGCCATGAAATGAAAAAGGTTGAAAATCACTGGTCTATGAGAATATTCTCTCTAGGAATTTTTTTACCCTAAACAAACTTCTAAAACTTCTGGAATATTCTAATATATGATAGTTTCCAAAAAATAATTTTTAAAAGAATATGTTTCTTTCTTAAGAATTGTGCTTAGCTGGTTTCAGATGGCTCCTGAAATTTAAGTGGTCTCCATAGTGTCTCCTCTTTATTCCAAATAAACCAGACAAAGCCAGAAAGTTCTGTCACAGAACATGACCCAAGCACTCTAGTCTTTATGGCCTCAAGTCATCTCCCCAAGGGAAAACAGAGAGCATTCTTGAAATATTTCTGTTTAAAAAGAAAAGCAACCCTCAATTTTATTCCTTTTATTAAGTAGCAAGCACTTAGAAATGATAAATATATATTAAAATGTACATTAATGAAAATATGTACTTGCTGGAGTAAAAATATTCTCAAATCCTGCAAATGAAGAAAGATGGGGGTTTGTTATAAGCAATCCAGAGGGCTTTCTCTCAGTCTCCCTACTTCCCACTTTTTGATTCACTCACACCTCCTCCATCCTCAAATCTCCAAGAAAAATAAGAATTGTAAGTTAAAGGATTATTTCAGAATAAAATATGTTTAAAATACAATTATTTTTCCATTTGCTATTCCTCCTAGCTTGGATAATTTTCTTCCATTATCATAACCTTTCTGTTCTGATGGTCACAGACTTTGTTGAGGCTCATGTCGCCTGTTTTCATCTGTATTCTAATAGCCATCTTCTGACTTCTCTTAACTTCAGTCTTTCTTCTCCAATCCACCCTACCTCCACTGCCAGAAAACACAGCTCTGGCCATGAGACAGAGTTGAATCATATATGAGTGTTTATTCCAATAATGCCGGCAGTATGGGAGAGCAGCTCTCCCCCCATCATAGGCCAACTGCTTATATTGAGTAGAAGGACAAGATTGCATGGGGACATCTGCTCTCCCCCCTTCATAGGCCAGCTGCTTATATTGAGTAGAAGGACAAGATTGCATGGGGAAGTAGGCAAAGGGAATAAGAATGGGTATGCAAAATGGGCAGTTTACAGGTATAGAGTGGCTGGGGGTTTGCCAAGGCCTGGGGGTTTGCAAAGGCCTGGGGGTTTTCTAAGGGTGGAGCCTCTGGTTTCTGCAAGTAGGTTGTTAGTCTTTCCATGATAATAGACAGCTCCCAGATGTGGAGGATGGGCTTCACTTCCAGGTGAGCTCCTATGTCCCACTTCAACTCCAGTCAGGTTAGAATGTGCTTTCTTTAATCAGAACAAACAATCACGGTTAACAGAGCATGGTTAATATTTCTTATAATTATAGCTGGTCCCCAATATTCTATTTCTGCCCCTAACAACCTGTGTGCTTTTCCTCAGGTGGAACCTTCAGCTGGGCTTCCTCTTTCAAAGCCATCAGAGCTCCTCCCCCATAAAGTTTTTCCTTAATTCTATCCAGATTGGATGATTCTTTGAATATACTAATTCTCACTTTCACATAGCTGCTTGCAATGACTAAGCATTCTCGTGGCACTCTTAGTCTAACCCTCATGTCACTGAGTTAGTATGTGCTGGGTTGGGGAGGGAGGTAATGCCTGCATATCTATGCATACCTGTATTTATTACAAACATTGAGGATATAAAACATTTGTAATAAAGAATTGAAAGCATAACATTTAAAAATAATATTGAAATATGCAATGCCCTTTTCTGTACATTCCACATAGTGCATTGATTCTCACAAGATGCTTTTCTTGATTTTTTTTTTTTTGGTCAAACATTTATATCTGTAGGCCAGAGCTACATGAGGGCGGGGCAGAGGGCTGAGAGCTACAGGAGGGCGGGGCAGTGGGCGGAGAGCTACAGGAGGGCGGGGCAGAGGGCGGAGAGCTACAGGAGGGCGGGGCAGAGGGCGGAGACCTACAGGAGGGCGAGGCAGAGGGCGGAGACCTACAGGAGGGCGGGGCAGTGGGAGGAGAGCTACAGGAGGGCGGGGCAGT